ACTTCATACCATTGGCCTCAGCCCATCGACCTGGCCTGTGCAGCCTGACCAGAAAAGCTAAGATACAGCATAGGTTGTTACTGGAGGAAGAAAAAAAGTACTTCGTAGTGTACTGCTCTACTTGATTTTAATGCTCTTCAAATATTTACAGTGTTCTGAAGAAAAATCTAGTGCTGAGATCTGACTTACTGTGTCTGCCTGCCAGATCATCCTGAGGTAGCCCACAGTTAGTGGCTCTAAAGATCATACTCATCAAGGGTGAAATAAATGAAAAAACTGAACTGATGTTCTTACAGCTCTTAAGTGTAACAGTCTTAGTTTCAGGTTTTCCGTCTAAAATATGAATCCTAATCAAGCTGACTACAGCAGGAAAAATTAGGGGTTGAAGGAAGGTACCAGTTACTCATATGATTACAGTGAAATTTGAGCATGGTTAACAGTAGCACAGCTCTATGCCTTTAAACTATGAAATACGGGGTAAGATCAGGGCTATGGAGATACAAGTTATGTTAGTTATTGAGTAAGCAATTAACTGGCTATGTGTTTAAAAATATACAGCAATTTAAAAAATGTTACAGCATGTCTAATCAAATACAATGCTTGTATTCTGCTTGTGCAGAATATGGGCTAACGTTGTACTGCAGTGATTTGATTGCCAAACTGTGAACACAAGAGTTTGGTGCTCAGTCATAATACTTGCTAATCTAGCATATTTGTGGCGTAAAAATGTATTCAGAATCAGCATTCATATTTAATGACATAGGAAATAAAGATTTCAAAGCAATAAGTGCATCAAAAAACACAACATCTGGAGATGTTTCTGGTATTCAAACAGGTTGCAATGATGGGGGTTTTTTTGCTTTATAGAGGGACGAAGTCAGAAAGACAAAAGAGGCTCTCGTGGTCGAGGCAGACGATCATCTGAAGAAGATACACCAAAGAAAAAGAAGCTCAAAGGAGGGTAAGGCATACCCAGTCACAGCTCTGGTGACTTTGGCTTGACACTTAATGAATTTTCCACGAGCTCATGTTACCCTATTTATGACTCATTGCTGGATGGTGAGCGGTGTTAGAGTGTTCTGGTCTTACTGCATTTCATTAGTGTCCTGCTTAGGACAAGTCAGCTTTGTTAATTAACTCCTTGGTTGGCATGTGGAAACTCAGCATGCTTGGAATGCCCTCTGACTGGAAGCACAAGATCAGTGTCTCTGTTGCTGTTGGCAAGCTGGGAGAAAATAGCTTTGATTTTTCATCATGCGGCTATTTTTAAAAGTTGCTTCTGGTTTTGAGTATAAAAAGAGACACTTGTCCGTCAGGACAAAAAGTGATGTTGTATTGTTCTTCTAGAAATTTTGGAGAATTTGGAGGTTGTTTTCAAAGAATCGTGTCCTACATAGTCTTCAATAATCTTAATTTGGTTTTATGAAACAAGAAAGAAAGCATGTCACCTCTCTGTGATATGATTTATATTAAATGGGCTCTGTTAACTCGAATGTTTTCAGTTGACTAAACGGAGGGGCAGAAAACTAAAAATAGTTTCCATTGACCAGTATGGACTTGTCAAGTGAGTACATTCCTGTCAGAGCAAGAGGGTTCACTCATACTAGCAACAAGAAAAGAGTGTATGTTAAAACCGATTGAGGGAAACAAGTCAGATTCTTCTGTCTGCAATCAGAAGTGATCTTTAAGTTAATTTTGTTACTGTAGTCATGGCATCTACAAATCATTTTCTTAATCATTTGTAGTCAAGCTCATGTTCTGTGTTTGATCAAACCTACCTTATGATTTTAATTATTGGATAATATGTGGTAATGTAATCTAAACTCTAAAGTACCATCAACGTGCTTTAGGGGAGATACTGTTAAAAAATTATTTTCCTAAGTGGGATTTAAATCTTGGAAACATGGTGTTGCCTGCAACTGAGAAGTGTTTTGTCTTCAATGTGTCCTTGTCTGTAGATCTGAGTTTGCTGATACCATCCTGTCGGTGCATCCCTCAGATGTCCTGGACATGCCAGTGGACCCCAATGAACCTACCTACTGCTTGTGTCACCAGGTGTCCTATGGAGAAATGATTGGCTGTGACAACCCAGATGTAAGCAATCGAGATTATACATTTTCAGGCGTTTGCTACATCACAACACTGCAAAGTGTGATGGGGGAGTACTTGTTCAGTTGGATCACAGAAAATCGAAGTAACGTTTGTGAAACACTGAGATCTCCTTTGGGGGTTTTTCCTTTCTTTTTTGCAGTGCCCAATTGAATGGTTCCACTTTGCTTGCGTGGACCTCACCACCAAACCAAAAGGGAAATGGTAAGTATGACAACATACAGGTTGTTGGTTTTTATCAGGCTACAATTTGCCTCAACAAGAATCACAATAAGAATTAAAACCTTGTTGTGACCCTTCCTGACAGAGGAGCTTTGCTCTTGTTATCAGACAGTTTGTATGCTTAGTGGTTTGGGATTGTGTTTGTGTGAAGGTAGAATGTACAAGGGAATGTTCTTCCTAAAGTCGTCTTCTACAGGAGTCTTCGATTGTGGTGGAAGCAAAACAAGGACCCAGGCATATACAAAATTGCATGATAAACGGAGCAAGTTTTGATCTAATGCTTGTTTCAATGTGTATATGTTACATACTGGATTTGTTGTATTGTTGGATAGCTGTGTCTGTGGTTAAGAGCCACATGTGGTTAAGAAGAGATGTACTTATTTTTTTCACTTCTGGAAGCTAAGTTCAAAGACTTTTCTAGGTTTTACTTATGTACTCATCTTGGAAGGAATCATAGGGGTTTTTTTGTCCTTAGTTTCTGTTTAATGGACTGCTCTTACCTAATTAACAGGATGCCCATCAGAAACAGGCTTAAGTGAGAGTGAATGGCAATTGTTCAAGGGAGAGTAAAGAATGGACTGGAGGAATGTATATTTTTTTTCTTTTGCCTATAGAGAAAGCTTATGTGACAAACTTGGAGAAGTTACTTGGAGTAACTTCTCCAAGTTATCCTGGACCTTGAAAAATGGATCTGGTGGTGACAAGGCACTCCAGAAGGAACTGAGTCAGATAATGGGACTAATTTCAAAAACAATCTTATAAACAATTGGGCCAAAGAGCATGGTATTGAATGGGTATATCACACTCCCTATCATGCATCAGCCTCTGGAGCTCCACCTCTCTCCAGTGCAGTCTAGATCAGTCCATGGCAGGTTGTAGGGCTGTGTTTCCACAGTACATGACTTGGAGTAACTTCCAGGTGAATGAAGTAAGGTAAGTCACAGCTGTGAGGGCCTGATGAGCCCTGGAAGCCTTCTATTCTAGTGCTGTCACTTCTACCCACCCAAGATGGTACATTTCCTATCCTATTTCCCCTGGCTTCCTAGATGGCATGAAAATTGTTGAAGTTACTTAAATTGGTTGCCTTTAAACCACCCTCCAACCTATTGGTTCAAAAACAATAGAAAGATGGGCTGATTTCTACCTCTCCTTCCTCTGTAGGTTTTGTCCTCGTTGTGTTCAGGAAAGAAAGAAAAAGAAGTAAGAAGCAGAGGGGAATAAACCCTCTGAGGCAAGAAGATTTTAATATATTCCTTCATCCATGTTGCAATATTTGATTATTTTTTTAACCTACCCTCCTTTTTCTGGTATGATATTTAATTGTCCAGTGGCCAGTTTTAATTCCTGTTCTTTCATAAGAAAATGACTTTGGGAGGGAGTCCCAAATCCCTTTGCCACAGGGATTTAATTTATGTTACACTTGCACAGCACTGAAATCAGTGTTACTATGAAGTGCTAGGGCAGCCAGTAGCTGCAGTCTGCTAGTTTGTAGGAGTCTGTGAAACCACACAAGTCATTGCAGGAGAGTGAAATACCTTTATCTTCAGCGTGGTGCATTGCCATCATTGAAGTTTAGGCCTGGAGCTTGGCGTGATAGAGAAGGATTTTTCTGGAATGTAGCCTGCATGAAAGAAGTAGGCTCCATTGTTTAGATGTGAAGTCCATTTGTTGTACAGTCTTATAGTACAGAAAGGAATAGGGAAGCTGGTTAACTCTTTCCAGTGTCCATTTCCTCAAAGCCAAGTGCTTAGTTTTGACAGAGCAGGCAGGGATGGGAGAGGTAACATCAAATCTTCTCTTTTGGGGAATTTCCTTTATCTGCCTTTGCACTTCCTTTATTTGACATGCCCCCATTCACATGAACCTTAATTGAAACAAACCACTTGACTTTTGACCTTCTAGAAAAGATTTGTGGTCTTGGGAGAAAACCTTTTAAATACCAGTGTTTCTAGCGTTACCTTTCCTGACCGTTTCCATTTCTTTGAAGATAATTTTAAGTACATTACTGTGAAGATGAAACCTACAGTATTCTTATAGAGCTAGAAGGTCGGATTTATTTGTAAGATGAAGGCCTGATTTTTGTTTCTTGTGTTTACCTGTATTGCACCTAGCTAGATCAGGAAAACAAGCTTTAGGGGAAGTCTCCATAAGGACAATGTTTACATTTCTGTGATGCTGTGGCAAAGCTTAAAGGTGACCATGGGTAGCTTGGTGAGGGTTGAATAGCATTGCTATGAAGCACTGCTATTGAAGAAGGCTTTGCAGGAATATTTCAAAATCTCTTGGGATTTTTAGTGGGAGTGGGGGCACATTTGCATATTCTTGACTTCTTTAAGCTGCCTTTCAGATTATGAATGTGAATCCTTGCCATCATCACAGTGTCAGTTGCTGCAGTGTAAGGAAAAGAAGGAAATAAGCAGTAGGAGAGTAAAGGTTTTTCTGCATTTGTTTTTCCCTTCAAGTTACAGTGAATGCAGCAGTTGAGGGAAGAGCAGAGATAACTCTTGTCTTCATATATATATCCCCTGTATTATGGACTTACCTGCCTACAATAAAAGATATTGTGGAGAAAGGTGGTTTCTGCTCATGGAGGAGGGAAAAGAAGCCCCAAACTCCTCTTCAGCAGTAAGCACCAGGGTTCGTGAATTTTGCTGGCTATGGTCTATGATGGCTGTTGATGGCAGCTCTGTGCAGGGCTGTGTACTACTTTGCATACCATTTTGCAGGAGCTCTTGGTATAGACGGCTGGAAAGGCATTAAGAAACTTCCAGATCAGCATTTGTTCTGCTGTAAAAACAATCTGGATAAACAATTCAGAAATAAAAAACCCAAACAACAACTCAAAAAAACCCCACCCAAACACTTCCAGTCACATTTTGGCACCTGTATCCAAAAGAAAAAAGTTTTTCCCCTGTTACACTGACCCTCTTGTTGCCAACATTTTTACTTGTGTCTTGCAACGAAAGAAAGTAGAACACAGCTCCTGCCAATTTTCCTTCCCTGCTTTGCTCTGTTGGGCTTTGTAGATGCTGCAAGTATGTCAAGACTGACATAAAAGAAACCTCTTGATATTGATACAGCTTTTCTGTAAACATTTTGATTTATTGCATCTGCTGTGAGGAAAAAAAAACCAAACCTGTCTCCAGGGTCCTATCATTTAAAGTGTGATCTTGTACATGTCTTTGCTATGTTGCATCACTCTGCATGTCGTACATGGAGTTTCCACAGTTATGTTTATGAGATTAAGAGCATTTGTCATTGTTGCCATTGTAATGGCACCTGGAAAGCAGGCAGACAAATTAAAAGCAGATGGCTGGTTTTTAGAGGAGAAAAAGCACAGTCACAAACCTGGACTTGGAGATACAGTCAACCCTCTTTTTCTTTCTGTCTCTTTTTTTGAGAGCAAATTTAATCGTGATACCTCATGAGCCACCCTGTAATTCAGTAACGAGTGAGTGAGACTTGTACCTCATTGTCCTGCTGCACTGGATTAATGCAGGAAGACTAGTGTTGATGCTGTTTCAGGTTTTATTTTATCCATCCATCCATCCATTGGTATTGTATATGACTTCTTTTTTTTTTTCCTAAGGCTTTACAGTTGTATTAGTGGTATCACCATAGCCTAGGCATTTGATTTGAAACAATCTCAAAATGCCACTGCACCTCTCCAGAGGTCCTGCTGGAACATGCCCTTACAGAAGTGCGCAGCTACAGATGGTTAAGTGCAAAGCTGACCACTCTCAGCTCAGAAAAGATGGTAAGGTAGGACAGCAAAATGCATTTTGTTAGGAAGTGCTTTTGGGGTGTGGAAGAGCAACCATTTTCCATTTTTACCAGCAAAGCAAAAAGATAAGCTCGAGAAGTTAGCTTCGGCATTCGGAAGGAAAGACAGGAATCATGAACAGTGTGAGGTACAACATACTCTTCTTTACAGTGTCTCTTAGTGTGTCAGGTCATCTGACATCTGAAACCAGCAATAAACTCCCACTTGGAACACACCAGCATGGGGGCTCTGATGGGTTCAAGAGCTCCTCTTGGCCTTGCACACCTGGCTTTAGATTTTTAAAACTCCTCGTAGGCAGAAATACCAGTAGCCTTCATTATTGCTTTACATAAGGATTTAAGTCTTTCTCCTGAATTTGAGTGTACAGTGTGAAATAAACTTTTCTGGAGAAGGCTGAACAAGACTGTGACATACGTGAAAGAACGTTCGCTGAAGATTGTCGAAACGCCCAACTGCCCCATGGGGCTCAGCTTTATTGCAGCTCATCCAAACTGGAGGTGAAGCAACTTTAACCCAGTTCTGTTTTTAAAGGAATTAGATATATGTTCCCTTTGTAAATGGAAGAGAATATAAATCTTTTTATTATTAGAAAAAGGAATGTAAAGTAAAAATGTATATCTGTATTTTTGGATCATGTTATAGATAATGCATCTATTGTTTTAAATAAAGTATTTTTGGGAACAAGGAGGTGCGGA